CCATTCCCCATTCCCCATTCCCCATTCCCCATTCTCCATTCCCTGTTTTAGTAACATCCCAGCGAAACTCGGTCTATGGAGCAACTTTTGCTGTCTAAGCGATTAAGGAATTAGGGAATTCCCCAATCTTAAGAACTAAGAAAACAAACTCATTGTTTGACATTTGGCGAGCTACGAAGCATGTGGAGGAACAATAGGGATAAACACTCCCACACCAACCTTTCCACACATTATTTATAAAACCATGCTGGGTAAAAAGTTTGGCGGAAACTTTAAGGTAATACCGGGAATAAGAATTCATAGGAATTTTTTAAAGATCCATTCATTTTGAAATTTTCAGTTACCTTATTCATAAAAGCAGGGTGGAAATGGGGGTCACCGCTTTAGTTCTCGAGTTATAAGATATCGTGTTAGGGGGTAATTCCAATTATTCATATTGATTTTTTGCCATTAAATACGTACTTAAAATTTGTGTGGAAAGTGAAGGTTTTTATCGATCAAAAGGTCTAGACTACCAAATGGCCGATCGTAAGTTTATCTAGCATTTGATGTTACAAAATTAATTTGAAGAGCTGTAGGTAAGGTTCAAAGAAAACTAATATCTAATCAAGCTTTCAAAAACGAGGTACGCGAAATGGATGCGCAGTAGGAAAGGTCCCAAGCTACTTTAATATTTGGTTTGTGAGAATAAAAGTTAGAAAATCCCTGTGCAGCTGAATGTTTCTATCCATGATTTTATTCATGAAATCCTGAGGATGGAGAGAAGGTTTGCTCCATTCCCAGTCCACCTGGTTAAGACATCTTGCTACGTCACTGAAATAAGCTTCAGCGATAGCAATGTTTTTTTTCCTTATTTAGTTTCTTTGTCTTTTCTTCTTATACTAGGTATGTGTATACAAGTATTGAGCAACAGCAAGTAAATTTATTAATTTATTGACATACATTCAAAACATATTGTTTTTTTAAGAATTTATATAATAACTACCTTTTTTTCTTTTTAAGAATGTCTCTCATTTCATTGTAACTTGTCTTTAAACCTTTTCCAAAAACTATATAACTTGGACCTTTTTTAAACACCTTTACTACTTAACACTTATCT